GGATCGTCTCCGGAGTCTAACGAATCATCGATCCAAGAAGGAAGAAGAAAAAGCAGAAACCATTTGTTTATTTTTCACGTTTACGAAGGTAGACACGGGCGATGGTCTTGTTTTCTGGGCAAATCGAAGTCTGGTAGTGAGCGAGGTAAAAAAGTTGGCACGTTTATTTATAACATTTAAAGAGAAGCAGACAAGACAGTAATGGCCCCCGTGTGTACGTATGTGGCGTATGCCTACCTACCTACATTTCCCAGGTAGGCTCTCGACAGCTTTCTTCTGACATAACCGAATGAAGGCGCGGGCCGCGGTTATGCAATTCGAAAGTGCCCGCCTTTACGTATTGCGGCGAGGATACGCGGTATCTTATGAAGGAGCGTACGTTTAACCTCGTGCTTTTACCTGCTCCCATTGGTGGGAGAAGAAATAAAAAAGATACCGAGGAGAAGTGAAAATTGTATTGAACGAATTTTACTCGTCAACCATTTGTCTTTTCTATTGGATCACTTCGAAACTTCAGAAATTATTGACCCTAAAAAAATTAAGGGGTGGGAAATGAGATTCTAACAAACAATAAGATATTATTTTTTTTCTATTTTAAAAAGAAATGGGGTGATCCCTTTAAATGAAATAAAAAAACAAGCAAACTGAAACAATGATAGTTGTGTAACGTTTCTATTTTCGACGAGAATGAATTCGGAATAATAGGTAGCAGGGCGCAACACGTGCGTAGACACGCGGCTTGCGTTTTCTCGTTGGTATACAGGCCCGGTTATGACATAACCGTGTAATGCATGCGTTTAAAGGAGACCATCGAGGAGACGCGAGCTCTTTTACGGGGGAAAGCAGGGTTCACTTTCACCGGTTCACAGACTTTTACATTGTAAGACACGCGTGCAAGGAACGCGTCTTTACACCCGTTTGTTCGTACACTCGAGCCTCGATTTGCCGCTTTTAATATAATGTTCTCCTGCTGCTCTCTCGAACGTGGATCTCCGCCAATCTTACATAATTCTTGCCGAGTAGGCATACTTCGTTCTCCAAAATTTCATTTTTCTTTTCATTTTTTTTTTTTATAAATTCAAAAATCTCTCAAAATTAGGGTAATTTAATTAATCCATAGCAATGTTCAAAATTTCAAACATAATTCAATATTTCACGGATTGAATTTAATTTCGCCGATGGATTAAAACTAAATGGAATTTACCTATGATTCGGCAGAGTGTACTTACTCGATAGAAATAGAGACTGATCTTTTCACGGTGATGCAAGCCTTTTAACCTTCCATGGAGAAATAAATTTCCCCCCGGGACGTTCGATTCTGATTAAGATTACTGCTCGCATATCACGAAGGTCGTGGAGGACTGAACAACCTCCACAACGATAGCGTCCCGATGCTCACTCGAACGTCCCTAGACGCACCTGTTCGCATCGCAAACTATGTACATCGAAGCGTGTCAAACGTGTACGCAATGGACTGCAGGTGCGTCCACCTCGTATATTCTTGGTATAGAGATCGGATCCAATTATGCGCAGGCAGCTTCGAATCTGACCCAATAATTTCGAACGGTCCTCATAGCGATTCTCAAAAATATTCAAGCTAATCATCAAATGATTCATTTTTTCTTTTTATCCATTGATGCATCAACGATGCAATGAACTTTATGTGAAATGTATGAAAAATGTTGGAATTTGTTGAAAATATGTTATTTTTGAGGTGCAACTTGGAGTTTGTGAATCTCACTTTATACAGCTCGATGTTGGTCCATTTTTGCTCCATGTTGGCGACACGCAGCATTGCTCCAAGCCTGAATATTAGGCAATCTAACGCGTCCAAGGCTAGCCGAGCCTTGAGCCGCCTTTCCAAGTGTTTCACTAACCCGACCGTTCGCTCGATCACGACCGTTCGATCCGTGTCTCCCTGTGATTAGATCTTGGATCTATCCGCCGTTTGTCCAGCTGTGTCACCTTTTATGTTCAAACTGATTTTTCGAAATATCCACTAGAATCACTACCACCTAAGGATACACGTTTCTCTTCTCCTTATTCTCCATTATTTTTATTTTTCAACGTATGATTCTTCGTTCTTAAAACGATTTCAATATCATTGCTATCATTTGTAATATAAGGTAGTAAATTGAAAGTTTAAATATTCAAGTCTCATTACACGCGTTATTTTTACTGTCAGCCAGTTAAAGTGTTAAACAGTTAAATTTCTTAAAGGAAACACGTTAATTGAACATTTGCTCGGTTCGAATATCTGCTTTTTTTTTCGTGCTTTGAATAATTTAATATTTGTTACTGTGCAAATATCACATATCGCACGTGACGTTAAATTTCATCGTTATATTCATCAAAAGTCAGAAGTTTATTTTTTGAGATTAGTTAAGAATGACTAACTCTGCGTGACCAATTCCAAATTCGAATACTGTCATTTATTTTCTTTTTATCTCTTCTTTCAGAAGGTCATTTGCATGAAACAAGTTCTATTCTAGTATCGTGAAGGAAGTGCAGTATGTTAATGCACTTAACACATCGGTCAATTTTTATCACACAAAAATACTTTGTATCGTATAAAGTCACTTTCATCAAATCAGATCACATTTTTTATGTTTTAAACAATCTAATAATTAGTCCATCTTATGATTTTTTTTCCATAACTGTCGACAAAACTTGTTGGTTAGCAAACGAACGAAGAGGACGTACTCGAATTATGTAACGCCGCGGCACTTTCGTCGGCGTCGCTTATGTCGGGTTTAGCGTCGCGACGACCGCTAACGCGTCGTTCGCATGCATGTAATTTCTATCTCCTATTTTTTTCTTTTTTTTTTCATTTCAATTTCGATGGCAGCTTCGTTGTAAAAGCGACAAAACCTTGCCGCAATGGGGATCGCGGTGCGAACAAAAACGGAAATTAAGTAACTCGGGAAAGAAACCTTTCTACTTTGTTACCGTTCCTTGGAAGAAAAAATATAATAGAGTTTCTCGTTAGGCTATCTAAGAAACGTTTTATTGTCCGTGTTTCCGTTATGGCTGTACCTTGACCGAGTGTTTCTGCAACGCTACTTTCGCGCGTTTGGAAATGCCGCAAGAAATTCTGACTATAGGTACTTTGATTTTGATAAATTATGTATCATTGATATAATTAATAATAGGTTTCTACTATTTCGCTCGACCGATATAATTGAAATGAAAAACTTCGAACTCGCTTTACTTCTCTTCGAACAGAATTATTTTGAAGAACGTAATGAGACGGACAAATTAATCAATCAGTTAAATTGTTTTATGAAATAGTATCGTTTGCTTTAAAGAAATGATTATTGTACTGTTTGTTTAATTTAAAGAATATTATATAACATTCGTGACAATGAAGACTGTTCGAAATAATTCAACGCAGGTATTACGAAATAATCAATTGTTTCATGGAAATTTCTCTCTGGTACAATGGTAGTTAATAATCTATTACGATTTATTAACTCGAAGAGAAAGTTTCGAGATATCGTAATACCAATGATCTATAGTGAATGGCGTAACTAGCATGGGAGGGCAGGGGAACTGTGTTGGGGCTTTCACCCTGCCAAATATTCGTCAGACGTTTTTGGTAACGGTAGCCTCGACATCAAAATCAGATAATAACTCATAAAGTTCTTTGCTGCAGTGAAAATGTTTCCATGTAACATGCGAACACAGAAACATTTAAAATTTATCAAATGAAATATTTTTGCAATAATTCTTCAAATAATTTCTAGGCACCAAAGAGACGCGTCTTATAAAATCAAAAATACGATTTCTTTTTTCTAATAAAAAATGCAAATACGAATGATAGATACCTTCTTTTATATTTCTATTCAGAAAATATTATGCGAACGTTACGAAAGAGCGAGTAGAAAACGAAAAGGTAGGATCACCGTTGAGTTACAGTGTCAAAGAAAGAATCGGCACGTAGCGCGGTCGAAAACGGGTTAGAAATAGAGATAAATTTCTATTTAACGGCAGAATTTCTTCTCGGTTGGCAAACGCGGTTTCGCAACCTACGGTAAACAGAAGTAACCGATAATTTAGAAATCTTCGGCATTAGATGTCCTTGAAGCGTACTCTTATGCGGAAAACGAGCAAAGTTCGAATAAATCAGATTGAGATAAAGGTGTGTTACTTTGTTCCCGTGTTTCGTACAAGTATATCTATGCAAATCAAAAAAATTCAACAGTTTCACAGCCGTACCACAATACAGAGTGTTCGAAGAGGAACTTTGCGGTGAGTTCTATGAATGAAAACTTTCATGTGGTCGTAAACTTTCCAACTTTACGAAATTAATGAAAGATTAATGATGGTTAGATATTGGATCGTATTAAATTTGTAACGTCGGTCATTAATTTTTTCAACGTGTAGGAATTAAGAAAAAAGAAATGGTGTTAGAAATAAATGATTACGTAGGAGGCTCCATCTTTGTAGGGTTAATGGAAAACTCCGGAGTTCTTTTTCGAGACACCTTGTATAATGGTCGTCACACGCCGGTCTTTACGCTTTGCAACAATGCCCCAACTTTCTCCGTCACTTTCATTTTCGTTGGTTGGCTGCTCACCTCTTTCGCTTCTCTCCCGCTTCGATTAGGAAATAGTGCGTACCCCACCTTTTTGCCCGACTCTGGCCCTCCTTTTTCTCTTTCGTTTCTCTCCCTCCCCCGCCTCACACCTCCCTCTCCTTCCTGCCACTCACTCCTCGTGCTCTTTTTCTGTCCCTCTTCGTTTCTCTTTCAAAGCCCGCGCACCGTTTCCGGTCGGCTCTTGTAATTTTAGAAATCAACCAGCAGCCCGTATGATACTCTTTTTTTTTTTTTTTTTAAATCAAGTTTGGCCAACACGATACTCCTTGGGCAATTTTGCCCTAAATTAGATAGTTATTATCGGTTCCGACCTACCCTCGAAGACACAATCGATAAACTGTTTAAGATCAGACAGGATTATGAAGATGTACAAGTAAAACACCAGTTCGTTGTTATTTTATTTTTTTTTCTTAACACGTATATTTTACTTTCCGTTGAAAAATAATGCCATAAATCGTCGTAGGAAATAATAGAATCTGCACAAATCAACTCACTCGGCGCACCACTATTATTCGCTAGAGATATTTACAGTGACTTGGAATTGTCTTGTCGATGAGGTTTTCGGTTTGCGTTCATCAACGGGAGGCGGAATCGTAAAATGATAACGTTCCGACTTCTCTGTCGTCGATTTGATATTTGCTTTTCTTTTTTCTCTGCGAGAATCCTAGTAGGAAAGCAGGGAAATGAAATTAGGATAATATCGGCGCGGATACGCGTGGGCATCCAACGTTTTAAGTAACAGCGAAAAAGTGTGCAGCGCTAAGCCTACCCTGTTCCTCCATAAGAAATAAGGAAAATATATCAAGAAATCCACGAATACCAGATATACACCATAGGGACGACGATTTCGTAAAATAAACGAGACCTTAGAGACGTCGCAAGTAAATAGCGAGCGATAGTTACTTTAAATAGATAGTATTAATTATAGTAGTAGTGAAATGCTCGTAGCAATAGTTATGAAGGTGAGACGTGATAGATTCAGCATTTTTACGATGCGTCGGGGGATATAGTCGAAAAAGGGAAGTTCAGGGATGAAAGGGAGACGAGTGCGATAAAGGTTAATGATTCGTAAAGTCAGGAACATGCGACATTTACACATCGAGTACATTCTTTTTTATCCTCTTCTTTTTTTTTTTTTTTAAATCTGTGTATCGTACCATCTCGCGTCATATCCTGCCGTTGTTCCTGCACGTTTCACGCGAGATGCGGATATTTCAAGTGACTTGTACGGTGTAGTTAACTACTACGGTACGTACAGTTCGACCGCCCATTTACGCAACACTAGGTATATGCCTAACGAAGGTCAAGCACAATAAGATATTTTACGCGTACCGAGTTTTGTTTCCGGTTACCGATTATCCGGAGATTTCGCTATAGCAATACTGTCTCGGATAGTTACACTTAAACAGGTCTAAGTCACGCTGTGCGTACGAAAGTATCGTAGTATCTTGAATCGTGTTTAATAGAGAGGGTGTTCGGAAAAGAGAAATAATATATATACACCGTGAAGATTTGTTAGCTACAACAGAAGTCGAAGAGCTTTTTAGAAAATTTTGCAAGCTTATAAAAGGTAAATTGTGAAATACATTCAAAAGCGTTTGTATCATTCTCAATTTCTTCGAGGCAAAAATGATTGTTGTTTCTGGAATATTTTCAAGAAATATTCATTGAGAGCCACTGGTATTCATTGCTATTCGTTTCGAGATCGTCGAAAGCTTGCTACATTGGAAACCATTGGAAAAAAGGAAAAGAAGTGTAGAAAAAAATAATTGTGGAAAAAGCGCGCCTGTGCAACGATGGTGCTGTACAACGAACAGAGTTGGTTGCAAAGCCACAGGCGTCGTGTCTGTCGCTTTTATAAAAAAAATTCCTTCATGCGTTTCGAGTTATACTTTTAATTACTATGGACGGATGTATCCGCGTCAACCTTTTTGTTCCATGACCGATCCGGTCGCTGGTGTTCGCTTATTTGTCCAGAATCGAATCATTTCAATCCACGAAATTGCGCTATCGTTCGATCAACCGTGCTCTGTTTTGATTCTCTGCTGTTATTGGAAGGGAATTTCGAAACAGTGTTGCCCATCGTTTCAAGTGTTTTGAATAAATATTTGTTTAAAATAATCATCCAAATAAATTAGACGTGTATCTTTCCAAACACGTCGATTCCTCGACTTTTAGATTTAACGTTTACTAAAATGTTCATTGTCAAAGAAATATCTACAATATAATATAATACAGATAAATAAATTACTTATCATTGACGAATAAATATTCAAATAAAAATTCATCTGAATTTAGACGAATAACGTTAAATCTGAAAGTTTATCAGATTACTTATTCCAATTCTCCAACACTGTTTCGAAGGAAAATGCGTCCCTCCTTGAAGGTTCTGGATCACAGTCACAAATGGACAGTTCTTTTTTTTTAATTCCATACGATTTGATTCTCGTTTTTTGATTCTCGTTTCGATTGGATACTGCAGCCTTTGGAACGTACTTATCGCTTTCATCTCTTGCCGACCTATTTTCAACCAAAGTCTTTTAAGTCGTGTCTTCGTTTCGACCTCGGATCACGTTGAATCTTTTTCGGTGCAAAGCTCCTGCTGGAATCCTGCACAGAAAACTTCCGTGACACGATTTTGAATCGCGCGAAAAAGAAACATTTCGGATTTGGGCGATTTATATGAAGCCACCCAGGGCGTCGTGAAAGTCTTGTAAATAAGCGAGAAGCTGAGGCATGGTTGGTCGATCTCTGGAAAGACCTAACCAACAGACGGCCATCACAGCGAAAAGCTCGTCTGGGCATGGTCTTGGTTGAACCAGTCGGTAACCATCGCGAAGACACGCCATCATTTCGAATGGATCCACTTCGACGTACGGCTGTTGACCCATCGTCGCCAGTTCCCATAAGAACACCCCGAATGACCACTTGAAAACAAACAATAAAGCCATAATTATTTATATATAATGTTCATGGTAATCGAGTGAAATTTTATCAAAAGAATGAAAAGAAATATTTTCAGTCGTATTCTTTTAGAACACCATACTGTATTTCAATTATTTCAAAATATTTTGAAAAATGAAGAGATTATAGATAGGATATATTAATTAAAAAAACTGGAGTAGGTAAAATCGCATAAAAATTTTATTGATATTAAATGGAAATTGTGATCATACCACATCCGTTGCAGTGCTGTACTGATTGTGCTGGAGTGTTTCCAAAGCCATCCACCGGATGGGTCTATTCTCATTATCACCGAGGCAGTGGTAATCCTGAGGGAAAAGATCTCGCGCCAAAGCTGTATCAGCTAATTGCACATGAAGGCTGCTTGGCTCGATCAGACAATTTCTTGCAGCGATGTCCCTAAAACCGTGCAATCATTTGCACACTTTATTATGTCCGATCTCTAATTAAAAAAAGACTTCATTTTGTACGAGTAATGGAAAATCAATTGTCTTTTAAATGTTTCAAAGATGTTAATTGGAAATTCATTAAAGGGACTACGTTAAGTTTTGATTATTTTGGTACTCGGTACACTCGATGATTAATTGCATCAAGTTGTTAATAAAGAAGAGAGGAAGAGCTAATCACCTGTGTAAGAGACCTCTACCGTGCAAGAATGCCCCTGCCCTGGCAACTTGGGCGCCAACGTGCACCAAATCCCTGGTGACAGGATGATGGTTGCCGTCGGTAAGGTACAGCTTTAAATTCAACACTCCCGGCGTACTTGTGTATGCCAATAATGGACAAGAGCTATCCAGGCAAGCAGCTGCGAGAGAAGCTATGTTTGCATGCACTAATCCCGCCAACTGGGAACCCTCCACCACCAGCAAAGACGCCTGATAAGCTGACGCCACTTCTAAAATCTCAAACTTTTCCTGTTAGTCGAACCTCTTTTTTTTAACACTAAAATTAGTACAATCAAAATAACTCAAAATACTTCGGATTTCTTAATTCAAATCAGAAAAATTACCGTTCAAGAATCAACTGCGAGTATGAAATTCTCTACCTTATCGCGTGCTGCTAGGCTAGAACACTTTAATTCGTGTTACGAAATTTAAACAGGAACAGAAGAGTAATTGAACGATAATATTCCTGATTTTACATTTATTAAAAATGTCTTGTAAAAATTAATTTTTTCTAAAAAGAGTTGTGCTTTCAATATAATTGAAAATGTTATATTATGCTATGATTAAAATAATCAACACATTGTTAAAATTCAATGCCATGCTTTAATCATACCTGTGACTGTCTTTATGATCACTTCTTGCTCGCGACCTGCCAAATCCAACGTGCCCTTGTAAACGCGACCAAATGTGCCTTCTTGTATAAGATTGCGACAGTACAACGCGGACCTTGACACAGCAAGTGCCCTGGCTTTCTCGCAAGGGTCTGTCGACTGGAAATTAACAAACGACTCATTTGCAACAGAAATTTATTTCTGTATCGTCTATTTCAAAATATAATGTTTTTCTGAAGAAATTCTTGTTTGTCATTTTCCATCGTTCTTGGTATCCTCGTTTCCATCGTAGCCGCATCACCCTTTGTGCGTCCATGGTTTTTCATCGGCTCATGGTGTTGCGTGGCGCGGGGCAAGCAGGGACAGAAGACGGCCGGTTATTCATTAATTTCAATTTTCCGGAGTTTTGCCTTCGGACCCTCCTATTCCATTTGCATGTTTGCGACACGTGCACGCGCGTGCGTCAGAGATGAGGAAAAAGGAGATGGAAAAGAGTTGAAAAGCAGCTCAACGCGACGCAAGTTATTGGAAAAATCGGGATGAAGATTATTTATCGATGATTCGATCGGTCTTTGGACCAGGTTTATTTTTCCTTTTCTTTTTCTTCAGCGCATAAACATGTACAATTTCAAGCTGATTTTCTTCCACTTTTCATTACCACCTTTCGTTCCATTCGTTGATTTCGTTTTCCCTCTGTTTCTCTTCTTTCCATCTTTTTTTTCCTCCTCCTTCCCTCGCACCCGAATGCCACTTTCACTCGTTCGTTAATGAAAATGCAATGAGACAATTTGAAACCAGCGGGCAGGTTTGGAAAACGAATAAAATGGGATTTCAGCCGCGGTATAAGCTTATAAATATAAATAGACGGGAGAGACGATGCTTTGTTTAACTGGTAATACCGGAACCGCGACGAACGAGTTTGCTGGTAGTTGACGGAGTGCAACAATTTCGTTATTATGAAAAGCAAAACGGATGCTTTAACGCCGCTTCCGTCACGGTTCAAACGCGATAATCGACACTTTTAATTGGAATGCTCGCGACCAGTAACAAGATGAAATGCACCCCCGGGATACGCGTTGAATCATGCAAGAATTTATGCACTGTTGTTGGCTTGTTTCGTACCGGCTGCTTGTACATTAAACGGCTGATTATATTTGAAAAAGTTAAAATTAAATATTACAATCGAGAGTAATAAAAGTAGCATACGTACGGAAAAAAAATTTAACATTCGTCGCTTGTTACGATGCATGAAAACTACTCGTTGAAACATCGACGGATAAAAGTTTTCTGGAGTTGGCAACAACCGTTCGTCGTACAATTAACAAACGGCGCTATTAGGATGAAAAAACAGATTCGTAACTGGCGTGGCAAACAAACGGGAAGGGAAATTGAAGCGGCGATGAACGTTTTCATCGGGATGAAAGTAGACTGACGAATCGCTTTTATACGATCACAATTGTGCTATTGATTTAAGTGCGTCACGAGTGAACTTTCTGCCGGATACGCAGCAAGCAGCAATTCGATTTATTTATCGAGAGGAGTTTCGTCAAACGTCGCCCGTTTGTTTTACGCTGAAAGCACTTTAAAAGCTTCATTTTCAGCTCGACTGTCTCCCCCTAAACTTTTTATTCGGATTCGGTAAATTTAATAACAATTTCCAATTTAATTTCATAAAAATACCGTCACCTTTAATAACTTTCAATTTCAATACTAGGTATAATAATAAATAAAGAATCGAATAAGTAACCCTTAAATTCAATCTTTTGTTTTTCAAAACCTATTAATGTCCTCGCGGTAAGTGAAGCGTTAAATTACCCTGAAATTACGTATAAGTCGATGCGTGTCGTTTACAGAACGTCTCTTGCGAGTGGAGTTCGAAGAAGGTATACCGAAAACGAGTAAAGGAGAAGGTGATACAGAGCCAAAGAGAAGGATAAGTTTTCCCTTGAGGTTCGTGGTTACATGTATACACCTGTAACATCCGTTCGTCTGACACAGGTCCTTACGTCGGCACGCGTTTGTATAAACACTCCTCTCTTCGAGGTTCTTCGCGTCGGTTCAGGAGGGTGGCGTTTCAGACGAGGACACCGAGGTGAGGCGAGGCGAGACGAGGGTTCCAAGCATACGCGTATACCCGGTAAATTGATTCAAGATCAAAGCCGAAACAATCACAGGACCCACTTGCAGTTTCTCTTCAGCCTCTCCTCCTCCGACTGTGGAAGGCAACCACGTGTATAACCTTCTCCCCTCCTCCTCTCTCAGAGATCTCTTTGGAGGATGTTACGCAGCTGGTATTGCCACCTTTCTTTTACCCCTGGAAATTAATGTAAAACGCTCGTCTCGAGCTGCAAAGTGGTCGGTTGCTTTTTCGAAACTTCATTGCATATTTATTCGACATTTGCTCGATCTCGGTTTTCCTTCTTCTTCGTCTTCCTTTATCCCGCTGCGTCGGTGCGGCAGAACAAGCATCGCGGAATGTCAGAGAGGTTATTATTCTGGTTATTTCGTGTTTCTGCAATACTCTGCACTGAAACTTCGTGCTTTTCAAGCGTTGCTCGCCACAGGCCAACCTATTGTGTTCTGTTATTCGCATGAAACTAACAATTTCTTGTTTAACCTTTCGCACGATTCTGTAACATTTGAGGTAACTTTTCTTATTACCTTTGTCGCTCGCTTTATAACATTGTGGTTTGTAAGCAAATCGTAGAATCAGTCGTGATTTAATAAAAGTGCAAGTTTTGGATAAAATTGTTTAAATATTGTGGAAAGCAACATTCACGTTCGAGAGAAATAGAAATGGAAGATTGATCCTTTGAGGTCTGAGTGAAAAAAGAAAGGAGAAGAAAGGAAGGAAAAGAGTAGGTTTAACAGCTGTACCAGTTTCTTATGGGCTCGCTCGATTAGACGGAGGTTGTCGGTTTGGCGGGCTTGGAATAGCTGGATAAAGAGTCGAAGGTTTGGAAAGGGTCGGTGGAGAGAAAGTTGTTGGTAGAAAGCGGCCTGTACCGTCGCAAATTCGATAAAGTTTCGAGCACGCCTCTCGTTTTACACGCGAGACCGAACGAGACGAAACTCGCAGCCTCCGTTTCCGGTGCTGAAAGAAGGATACGGGGAGAGAGAAAGAGAGAGGAATCAGAGTTTGCAATGAACAGACAGGAAGAAGAGGTGAAGGGGAAAGGGGAGGAATGAACGGTTGAGAGAAAATCGGATTTCCTGACATGCAATGAGAGTTTCTCGTCTACCTTCCACTTTGTTTCGCGGACTGTTTCGCTACCCTTAAGCTCATGACGCCATTCGAAGGCACACAATGACCTGACATTTCGAGCCGCCCACGCGGGCACGGCTTGCGAGTTCCCAGAAACACGCTTTTGAAAAACGACCACCAGTCGGATAACTGACTTTTTAAACGCTTGGAAAATTCTCCAGATCTGGCGATTCCGTTACCCCCTCTGTAATAGCTACCTTCAAAGTATTTTATCCTTTTAATTGTTTTTCGTATCGCAAGTCTCGCAAACTTCCAACACTTCTCAAATATCACGGTTGCTGCTTTAATCAAAGAGATACGAAAGGTACTGGTTCTATATAAGCGAAACTTTTCATATAACACTAGAATATATAGATGGCTCGATAAAATTCGATTAATTTCCTACCGTCGTTTATCGTTAGAAAACTATAGAAGATAAGGAATTTTACAGCCTCGTTTATATTTCACCGACCCCCGTTAAATTCCGTGTATAGAACGGTGGATATCGCGTAGCTTGTGAGTTGGAAGCATAATTGGTTAAACTTTTACAAGCATCGTCTCCTCGTCGTGAATCTCCCGGAGAGTTTCATGTGCCATACTTCGAAACCACCGTAAGCACTTAATGCAATATCTTAGGCAAGTTCCCGTAAAATCATTATGCACCATACCTGACTCAGATGCGTCATATGGCTCGAAGCGTAGTAACTCGCTCTAGAACCGCAAGGTCTCGCATAGAGTGGCTCCAGGTCGGCAATGGTCGCGTAACTTCCGGAATTTGCGCTTCCGGGTCGTGGGTCGACTCTAACCAGAACAGAACTTCTCGCCAGACCACCGGTGTCTGCCGCTGAATAGCTGCAACAGGGCAGTGTTTTCCTGCAAGGACAGACGACCCTGTAGCTATCTAATGATTATACACGGGGTTAATTATTTCTGTAATGCACAACACGTTCTGTGCACCGCCGAAACATAGCTGCACCGGTAATAATTGAGAGAGGTATGGCCAACTATCATTTTACTACTACCACCAGCCTCTCGCCGTGCCGCGACGCGCCGCTCTTATCGTTTACCTCTTCCACTGCGATTCCTCTTCCTTAAGCCAAGCCTTTGATATATTGAGAATAGGGATCTGAATACCGTTTAGAAATTTAGTACTGGAATTATAATATTTTTCCTATCAAACACCGGTTGAATACTAACGGGGTCATTAGTGACCAACGCCGTAGATTAAATAATTTAAAAAAATAGAAAAATATTATGTTTAATAGTGTTATTATTATACTAACCGTACCAGGTAGAATATTAAATTAGTTTGGTTTTAAGACTGCTTAATTAATCGTACAAGTAGTACATGTCAAGCATTAGTCCGCCAAGTGCATCAATTTTTAAGACATTAAAGCAACACTGATTCAAACATTCTGAAAACAGTTCATGACTATTAAATAAAATAAATATGTATATATTCACACAATATTGTGCTGTTTTTGAATCATTATTCATAGCTTCAGTAAAACTGTGTACATTTACAATATCCCAGCCTATGTGGATGCAATGTTGCCTGCTTTTAACGAAGACTCGCAAATGCACTTTCCTACGTAATAAAAACGTACGAGGAACGACTGGAGAGAACTGTGTGTATCACATTTCAAAACTCGGATCATGGGATACGGTTCGCTATTGTTTGCACAGATTTCGACAGATTATTTTTCATGGAAACAGTTTCTATTCTTTATCTTCGATATTTTCTAAAACAAAATTGCAGTTGTATATTAGTTTCCTAAAGTAGCAAGTGAAAATATCGTGAAAAATAATTTTGAGAAGTTCTATAGTCTAATCTCCGTATTCTTTTCGAAGTATATCAATTTCCATGTCGTCGTTAAGATAAAAATTTCAATGATTCTTGAAACCTGACAACGTCCCGAATCGATTTGCATCAACTCGACAAATATCTCCTTTCTTCGGCTCGAATTCCAATATATAGGAAAAGTTCGCGATTGTGCATCTAGCGAGGTGTCCCGTGTGATCGATCCCGTCGAAGGTCCTCGTAGCGTGTGAAATTACCGCTTAGCCTGCGGGAAAAATTTTCAAAGAGGGTTCGTTCCCCTTTGAAACGCAATATTAGAGCGGAGAGAGACTGAAAAGCGGCGTATAGGCGGGAGAGAAGAAGAACGGTGATACATAGCTGGAAATACTGGGAAAAGAATTCGTCTCGAGGAACGGTAATTCCGATATTTCGCCGGATTTATTGGCCGTTTTGCGCATGCAAATCCGTCCACGCACAATTCGACAAAAAAATAGAAAAAAAGAGGAACATCGAGCGAGAAACAGTAACGGCGCGGCTCGACGGCGTCGCGCGGACCATTTCAAATATTCCACGCTCCGGTTTTTCTGTATCGAGGCTCGAGGACTTCGGCCACTGTACTTTACGGCTCGATGCCAGTTTCCATTTATCATGCCCGATTTATTTTATTCCGCTACAATTGATACACTCGAGCGCAAGAATTACCATCTAAATACGAAACACAGATATTGATGCATAGAAGATTTTAAACGAAATATATGTTTTTCAAAATTTGCATTTTGATTCGGCAACGAGAGATCGAAGACGAAATAATGTACCACACAAGTGTGACAGAAAGAAATTTCCTATCCTTGTGAATACGAAAGGAGCATTCGGCCGCAAAGAGGAGCGTGTTCTTGTCGAATTCTAGAATCGTCCTTTGTGAGTCGAGATCGACGCAGTAACAGAGAAGAGGGGCCAAGGGTGGGTGCTGTGTGTTTACTCGAGCGAACGGATGTAAAATCTGCAGTCTCGCCCCAAGAGGGGACGCATAAGGGGTAGAGAAGGATCCTGAGCCTCGTTTTCCCGCGCGTTATCAGCCTGGAGAGCCTCAAAAGAGCTAATATATCCCCCGAGAGACAATTGGCTCATGCTCGGGACTTCCCTACTGCGGAAGACAGAAAGGAAGAACGACAGCGTTATAGGAAGGAAGAGAAACCACTTTTACCCCTCCTTCCTCTATCAAAATTCCAGCCGATAAAAAACATTCCATTTTAGGACAACGTTTATGTACACCCTCAACCGAATGAAATTTAAGATTATTGCACCATTGTTGCCACCTTCATATTTCCGCGAATCTTTCAATCCTTTTATTGAAATGTAACGTCTTCTGCAATAAACAAATATTTTTGGAGCATTTCATGAAATACGGATTAAAATTAGTTTCATTTCAATTCATCATCAAAGGAGGGTCTTGAACTATTTTCGTCTTAAAAAAAAATTCGTGATGAGAAACTTCAAAAGATTTAATAACGCTCGTCAAGAGACAATTGGTCTACTTTGAAGGAAATTGAAAAGACGGTGTACAAAGGGAATGAAAATGGAAGGTGAAGGGAAACCTCTTGCCGTTTCATCTCATTTCTATAATTTTACCATGTCGGAATTCATTTCACTGATACCGCGTAATTGTGCAAGAATGTATTAATTTCTTTGATATCGATAATAACGACGATCCAATTGAATGTATAATTAAAATACATAATCTAGTGACCCACTTTTCTGAGTATTATCATGAATTTCTTCTAATTGATGTAAGGAAAAAATGAAGTATTATTAATATTGGCTATATACGCAAGGTGTCAAGTGTAAAGCTTCAATTGAGCAAGTTTATAGTCACTTAAGACGGTCATAATTATACGTGTAATTACAGCGAAGAAAAGTAAAATAATGGTAAGAAGTAATAAATTGAAAGAGATTATCATTTTGAGGATTTAAAGTATACCTTTCTTTGTATAAATCGCTCGTAAAATCGCGTACCGGAAGTTTCACGGGTACTAATATATTCAAAGGAAATACGACAAGTCCGAGTAAAGAGGAGTGGAACGGGTAAAAGAAATAAAATTCCTCTCTCCCTCTCCAGAACTTCAGCTTCGAATCTTTTATCAGAATCTTCCTGGATAAGATTTTGTTACTAAGTATGACTACTAATTTATGCATCAGGAAATGGGTTATAAAAGCTCGATGGAAAAGTTTAGACGACGCACGAATAACGTCTGGCATCAAACACGGTCTCTTTAAAAGTTTCTAATTACTCGTTTTAAGTATCGCGAAAAATGAAATTTACCCTGCGTTTCTTCTGTATTGATTCGTAATGAATGAAACTAATAAGAAACCAGAGTTAAACAGACTGTAGGTAATTCTTGTACGAGTAAGAGGAAGTATTTTACGCGTTAAAGAGGAGGCGAAATGAAAAAAAAAAAGAAGAGGGAACAAGTCGGGAAGAAAAAGGGTGGGTGTCTCTTTCTTTGGATCTGCTTCTTACATCCTCTCACGCGAAAGTCCTCCTCGAACGGAGACGCGGAGCCATGCAATAAAATGTCGGCTGCCGTGCCAAGCGACCGACGGATCACCAGGGCTTATTGAAAGGATATTTCATGCGGACGAGTTCCTATCCAGCTTATCCCACGAATTTCCCGCGGGGGTGTAGAAATCTTTCTCCGCTCTTCTGTTCCTCACCGCGACTCAGCCCACGCCTCCCACCTTCTCTCTATCCAACAGGAAACTCACGATAGCAGACTTTTCACTCTGTCTGCTCGTGGGAAATGAGAATGCGACTGGTGATACGTGAAAAAAAAGAAGATGAAAGCCGCCATCCTTACGAATCTTACGGATAACCTGGTTGCTTCGTCACGATTCTGGTTTTATACCTCGGAAAATTGCGCTCGAGGCACGATATGAAATTACCGTTTTAATAAGCGGAATGTTCGATCAATGTTTAATCGCGAAGCTTTCTTCCGTAAGAGATTAACGAACGATGCTTGTTTCCATGAAATCTCGTCGCTTTGGTTTTACTATCTCCTTGATTGGATAAGTTTAGAGTGTATCCTTGAAACTATACTCACTGCGACTCTTGAATACGAGCCTTGCTGTTGCGAATATACAGGGCGCTTACTACGCTGCCGACGACTAATATTAAGGCGCACGCACACGTTGCGGCGACGTAAAGTGTTCCAGCACCGTTCACCAGCGGTCCTGGCTCGAGACGAACCGAGTCGTTCCTTGGCGGTGCTTCAACCCCTGAAACAAAAATTACAATTTTGTCAGTGCAACGAAGATTTTTCTGAGCGACACTATTGTGGCATCAAGGGCTGTTAAATGTTCAAAGATCCGTAAGTCGCGTAAGGTAAATTCATATTCCAAATAGGAGGATTCCCTCCGAATATTTCAACGTTCGTGCGTGACTTTGACAGCATAATAACCGAGAAATTTGGTCATCAGCATAGATTCTCCTGTGCAATTTAATGAACGTACTTCTCTGCCACCGTAAAATAATTGCATTACGGCCACAAAGCGTGTGCGAGCCACATTACGTTATCGACAACCCATTTTGTCGATTGAACCGTTTCCCATTCGATGTTCTATGTACCCGCAAGAGAATCGATTTCATTGTCGAACAGGCTGATAGATCGATCGTTCACCTGTATCGGTCTGGTTATCAAACGAACGACATTTAGCAACCGTGCAGTCATAAGTTATATCAGGATACTCGAATGAAAGGAGGAAGATCCTTTTGAATTGGATATCATGGTCTGTTCAAAACCATCGCGAACGATGTTTTACAAAATATTCTTGGATGTCTTTTGAATTTCCTTTCAGATTCGTTTGCACCTTCCGCCCTATATAACTCTTTACTAGTCTTCCTCTTTGTATTTCCAGAGTTCCACACCCGAAGGGGATTTTTCATTAAGAAACCAAAACATCTGCAACAAAAGTTATCTCGTTTTAAATAAAGGTTTACAAAGAATATTACTTCATTTGCGTTTATAGAAATAATGCAAATTCGTCGCCCTTTCTCTAACGAGACAAGTCCTTTTTGTTCGTTTTATTTCGGGTAAGATGGCAAGAAAAGTGAGATTCGCGGCGTGGTCAGGATAAATAACACAGAGTAAACGAATGAGCCCGACACGATTGCACATACGGTGCCTGGTAGAGGAAGAATTTTCTCAGCTTGAGATGTAACCGAGAAAAAGCGGAGGAAAAACTTTATGACGATGGTGCTGCGGAAAAAGAACGAGTAAAAGAGCGAAAGAAAAAGCGTTTTGTTCAGGTCTTGGTGGTGAAATTCTACTTTTCTTTTCTATTTCATTTACTTACATGTATTATGTGGTGCATCGTGTTTTATTATGCTATAAATGCATTAACGATTACACTCTATTTGTAACACTGGATCGCACTGTACATGAGAAGAATAATTGAGCGGAAAATTTCGATAAAGTTAAATAAATAGGAGCTGTATTTGATGTCGCGTCCAACTTCTTGCAAGAATTTTCCCCTGTTTATTCACAAGTAACGGACGTCTTAAAATCTTCTCTTTATGCGGTACATTGCTCACCGAGATGGACGACGGCAACTTTTTAAGTAACTTTAGTTTTCATTCTTTCCATCGTGAGATTCTGCTTAAAAGTTACTTTCGAGAATAACGTTCAATTTCACCGTTGTTTTATTTACGAACAATTATTCATTTTTATCTTCATATTTCATTGATAATTTGAATTTGAAAATCTCCTTTCCATTCTCGCTTCTATGCGCGTCAAATCTGAATCTCCTTTTAATCCGTCGCTCTTATAAGAGAACCGCAACTCGATTCAACTATCGAAAAATTAGTCACGGAAACCGACGGTTTAGCCCGTTCAAAGAAACCGCACCACTTGATATCTAATAAAAAAAGGTGAGGGAAGGTTAACGGCTGGTAGGACAAAGGAATCAATTTGCTTGCGTTGCTCCAACATGGCGGAGGATCGATCGAACTCTAGTTTCGTCGATGTACCAGAAAAGGAACTTGAGTAGAAAGTCGAGAACACCAGATAAGGGAAGGTTTCAATTCAAAAATTAAAAAAAGAATCTCTTTTTCTTATTTCGAAAACTTTTAACCTTTTAACGCTTTGATGGTTAATTTCAAAGCATGCCTAATTTCAAGTCTAATGTTTTTAATTATTCATCAAAATTATTATAATCCAGAACGTCCTTTTTCCAATGATTAATTTATTTCTTCTTCTTCAATATTTATTGCGTACGTTTTTTAACGTACCACTGTATATGTAGACAGGGTAAAAGGATTCTAGGAACCAAACACGAAATTCGATTATTTTTGAGTGGTCTCCAGACGATTTCAGATTTCTGCAGGATCTCTTAAGAAGCGAAGAAGCAGGTCTGTCGAGCAAAGAGGGCCACGAGGAAACAGCAGCACCAGGCCAAGAAGAAAAGCAAATCCGGGGAAAAAGAAGGAACTCGTTGTCGACGAGTATCGTCTCATAGCCGCTTACTTATTTTCCTCCCTCTTTGTAGCGTACCCCTCTGCCGCTTCTTCGCCACTTCACTTTTCTAGGTGGTCGATCCTCTTGATCTCAGACCGGTGAGATCCTTCTTCTCTTCTCTTTCATTAAATACACCAATTCCTGACGAGATTCAATTTTATTCCTCGGATTGCTTTTCATTGTGGCGTCCTCCGTACTGGTAACCGGATTTGTATCACCGTCTGTTAATCCTCCCTATTTTTTTCACTTCATCCTCGTATCTTGCTCTATTTTTTCCTATTCCTTTTGATCTTTTTCTGTCTGTTATCATTGTCTCACTAGCAAGTGTAAATAAGTATAGTTTCTATCGAGAAGAGGATCCAATTCCATCCACCTGTCTGTTACTACATCGAGTTTCTCGATACTCGATGTTCTTGTTGATCTCCAATCGAAGAAGAGGATGTATTCCCGGTTACCGGGATGGGAATCAGAACGTTCGGAAAATTGAAGGGGAATTGCGAGATTTCGAGAGGTTGGATATGCTCAAATACAGGGGTCGAGTTTGTAGGTACCATCGAAAATATCTGACGAGAACTCGTGTCTTGAAACAGCAAACATGTTTCTTAAACAATATTTTCAGCACGATGCGATAATGATCGTTCTTCTTTAAATTGTATACGTACAATATCTTCGCTCGTCCTTCGTGGATAATTTTAGCGCTCCCCGACAAAACGGCTATTTTCTTTGACGCTAAATTTAATAGAAAATTCATAGAAAGGTGAAATAATCGTTACGGTTGAAGGGTTAACAAAATTATAATAATTGACAGGTGACATGTATTCAACTGACAATGTAAAGGAAAATTTTTCTGTGATGTTTAATTATTAAAATATCACTTGCGGAAAAGCAATTTACATCGTATGTAACTATGTAATTAAACGGGATTGGATGAATAGAACTTTGATCAGTTGATTCACACCGATACAGGCAAATATCAGAGAGGGTAGAATTCGCATACACGAAATTCTGCTTTCAGAAATTATGCATCGACGTTGTTGTCGATTTCCAGTTGCACGAAGGGCTATAAATCGTACATAGAGGCGATAATAGAAAGGGACTCGAAACGAATTCAAGCGATTCTCTTCGTTTTAATCACGGTGTAGGTATAGGTCGAAATTGCGTCGCCTGTAACGAAGGCATTCAACAATCCCGGTGAACGTACTAATTAAATCTGCGATTACATAAACCAAGCAATTATCGAGAGTACGGCAATGTGTTAAAATACTTGTTCGCGAACGCGTTGACACGGTTTACGCGTTCCGCGCGTGACATAGGTACGCACGAACGGATTTTTATCCCTGTGTCGTTGACGCATTTTCAACAACTGTTCCACTCGTGTAACAGTATTTCATAAACTACCTGTTTAATCTCTTTCAAACGACAATGCAGTTTAAGTATCATAAATCAGAGATTACGTAAGTTTTAAAATGATCAAAGAATTTGATTAAAATGAAATTGATTAAAGCGATGGATACTCACCCTGCAAACAAATCTTGTTCCTCTTGAAAACAAGAATAGTGTCGTTGTATTTAGGTGGTGCAGTGACATTTAGCCTCAAAGCCAAAGGAATTTCAGCACTGACGAGACCCGAACAGGGTAGCCTGATCCTAAAGACCTGCAAGGTAACTGGTACTTCCCCTCTGGCTGATACGTTCACTCTCGGAGTAAGCAGCGCCATCATTCCGGAAACACCACCCGGAACACCTACCACGTCGTAATCCAACTCCATCGAGTAGGGTAACTGTAAATAGCCACGAAAGCAAAGAGATTATTTCAAATTTTTTATTCTTATCTGTTCAACTTGAATAATTAATTCTGTAAAAAAATCATTCGAATTTGATTGCTGACCTAATTGAAGGCGTTTTTAAGTGAGGTATTCTCATGAATTGACCGATAACAAATATCTAATAAAAGTGAGCATATCAACACTTCAAATTGTATTTCGAATTTTTAGGAGAATCTTTAGGAGATTTATAATGATTTTCTTGAAAAACACCCGAATTCTCCAGTTCCTTTTGTTAGCTTCTAAAGAATAATCTTCTTTAACCATCTTTCATATATAAACTACTCGCGAGGCAGGTGTAGCTAAAGGTGGCGAACTTTACACACAGAAGTTCAGTATATTCTCTGATCTGCGTAACTGTTTGGTAGTGAGGGTAAGGGTAGTGGCAACGAGTAGTGTGTTTAGGCACGCCACATGTTTTACGAGGTGGTATAAATAATGTGGTTAGTGCTTCGTGATGCAATGTCAACCGAGGCGATTTTACCCTGCACGACCCCCCTAGGAGTCTCTTGTAATCGTCGTAATCGTCGCGTTGCGGGGGGTGCGCAATGGCGTGACACCTGCCTATCGCACCCGTTCGATCGACAGAACTTGACGATTCCTTCTTTGTTACTTTTTTTCCTTCTTTTTTTTACTACTCGAATTCATGCTCTGCGAACGACAAGAGCTGACAGTGACTACTGCAAAAAGAAAAAATCCATTCTTCTTTTCTCTGAGAGTATTTTTTCTATTTTATTTTAATCCGGGTTTTCTCTTTGATTATACTTATAATTTTGAGAATGAAACGTTCCTGAATAGCACCGAAAACTAACTTTAGGAATTAAGTATAATTTTGATAAATATGAGTGTTTCAGTAGAACAAATGCAGTCTTAGGTAATTGAGGAAGAGCATATTTACATAATCTCTGGAAAGCTCTCTTATCCTTAATTACTTAGTAATTAGTATTTATGTATGCGTGATTAGTTGGCGGTACTAATTACAACAAGAACGTGATCCTGCTGTCTTCTTTTTTATTTTTTGACAAAGGTCTTTAATTTTTTAAGTAGTAAAGTTTTCCAATTTCCCAATTACCCAATTTCCAAATATGCTTCATTATAATTTCATATAATATTAAAAATGTAATGGTTTTTTATCGTTGTCCCTTAAATCCTTTCAGCGAATAAAACGCGCTGGTCGTTGGTCGATTTTAGCTACAGTATTTACGTGTGTTCCGCGAGCCATGTATGATGAAAAGTGTGCAACCATGCAAAAAGTGCATTGATAAACGTAGCATGAAGCGTGAAGAAAAAGATTATCGATGATTGCTGTTTCGGTGATTAATCGGCGCGTCTGGTTTACAGGCTGTATTTAAATATTTTCAGTGCATACACGTTTCCTTTGCAGATGACTGCATTCTCTAATTGAATAAAATATATTGGACAGAGAGATTGTGAATCTTAAGGATTTTTAACGCGTTACTAACTTGATTGGAATATATTTGAAAAAGCATTAAAAAATATTTCTCTATAAAACTATACATATTTCTATAATCTACTTTAAGTAAAATGGTACTTAAGCAAAATAATAACTCTGGGATGTGTAACTACAAGAAATTTTCAAATTCATGAAAAGGTTAAAATAACAGCCATTCGTCTCTTTACTTATTCAGTTACCCTCGTACTCGGCTTTATTGTCGCAAGCTTTGTTTCCCGATTTGAATAGCAGAAAACTGCTTTTAAAAGACGTTTTCAATAAACGAGGTTGCTCGGCTAAGAGTCCCTGACACAGCAACGTTAAAAAGCGTATACACAAGCTAATTGCCGATAACCTCCATCAAAGCTGAACGTGTTAAATTCACAGCAATTGCATCTCGTTTTTCTCCGCTGAATGCTTTTTCATCTTCGACAAAGGCTTGCACACGCGTAACCTCGATTCGGTTGTATGCAATCAATTGTCAGATTCACTCGGAGCAGTAAGGTACACAAGAAAGAAAGTGGAACACTATTCGTCACGTAGCAATCGATTTAACGGGAGGGGAAACGAGGCGGCAGAGAGAGGAACAGAATGCAACGGAAAGACCTTGCCGAGAATCGTTCTGCTGTTCTTTATTTGCCGATGCAATAACGAAATACCATTGTTCTTTGACCGTTCCAGCAGAAAACTTATGCGTTTACGTTTCGATTCGATTTTTTCCTCTTTCGAAAGGGGGTGAAAAAAATGAAGTAAGAAATTAAATCAAATACCAGATAAAATTACGAAGTAGAAACACGCTCCTTGCGTCCAGGGAATTTCTCCGATACAAATCAGACTTTGTTTCGAAGTTCAAGCTTTCACCTTTCAAAGTACGAACAGTTTCAAAGTTGGAATTTCCGATTTCCAACTGATTCCTTCAATTATCGCCCACCCTATCCGGGCTGAAGAAACAAATGAAATCTAAAGTCCGTTAAATAACTTCACTGTTATAATTTCATAAGAATGTAATTATAACCATTTCCTAATCCACCTTGGCCGCGATTACCGCGATTACCGCAATTTTCTTTTTTTGTGCACCGTATCGAACCAGGTTCCACGACCGTGGATCACTAACCTCGATATAAACGATCGCGCACGATCGTTGGTCACGCAACTGACCATGATTAAAATTCTTCAATGGAAGGTACTGAAATGATTCATGATATCGTTTACATTAGATTTCATAATGAAAACCTCTGGTAATAGACAAACTGTATCTCGATTATTTGACGGTGTCGGACAAATGTATCCCGTACAATGTTTAGCTGAATGTACTCGGGATTCTCATAAACAATGGCGAAACTATATATCGAGTGTCTGGCGAACGCGGAAACAGGAGATCCAATTCGCGATAGCAATAAAGTGTCAACATTGTAGACACTCCGTTGGACTGGTTCGTATCTCTGTGTCGGTGAGGTTGAAACTTTCACCCTCTGGTATTGTCCTGCCAGGATTCTCAATGTCCCTCGGAAAACTGTCAGAACGATTCTATCTATTGTCTGATAAGACGTTCGCTCAGCCATCCAGAAGACGATAATATGCGTGGAAGGAAACTGCGTTGAAAAGATAAAACTTACAAGTGACGGTGAAAGTATCTTGATAAAAGGAAGAATCCACCCTTTCAAGCTCTTTTCTTGTCAATTTCACGGTGTCAAATCGAGTATGAATTTAACCTAGTAAAGTTCATTTCAATTTCAATTTAAACGTTTCAAAGGATTTAACAGAGATAAAGTTAAAACCGCGGGCATAAAGTTGGTCAAATTTATTTATGTGACCGTAAAATACGCTCAGGATTTGTGCATCGAGAAATATATAATTTTTCCATTCGTTCTTTCGCGTTGCAATTTTTTTCCATTCAATTTTTTTGTATCCTTCTCGTTTCTTTATATCTATCTTTTCGATCCGTTGGCCAGCATTGAGCGGGCGGTTTCCCTCGCGTTTGCCTCTGCGGAAAAATAAAAAACGAGAACGACCCCGCCGGTCGCGGCAATGGAAATTCGAACCGCAAAGAGAAATTAATTTCTTCGACGGTCAAAGGTCGGTGAATTGTCTCCGAGCGAAACGTTCGCCAACAGCGTTTCAAGTTTCATTTTCAGATACGGAAAGACGTGATTGCTGCTTCCTCGTTAGAGGATTTTTTATTTTCCTCCTCTTATCGATTACGTATTCAAGAGCAACTGTAGTTGTACATTCGTTTAATAATACAATACAACTTGTTCTATCGAAGGTTAAGAATTATTTTCTCCGAGTCAATTCATATCGTGTGTCTCTGGACATATTTACGTATTTATCTATTGAAATATTCGTGTAATTATCACATGAAATATGCAATTACTGCATCACGTAATTTCTTGCGCAACCATCGACTGGAGAATATCTTTACTTTACGTAAACTTTACGTAACTTTACATAACTCAGAAAATACTTTATTTTTCATGAAAATAGCAGAATAGTTTGCAGCATTTTTTTAGAAAAATCTTTATATACTTAAAGAACAACAGTTATAAAACATGTAACGTTAAAATGTAATATTAAATAAACATGCTGCTTTTGAAATCAGTTATTAAACTCGTCTGAAATTGATAGTTAATTTGCAAACGGAATAAATTAATTGATGTCAGAGCCACTAATATCTTTAATAACCGATATGGGATTATGGGATCAATTATAAATTGGAATTCCCCTTTACAGGCGGATTATAAACTCGTAATTAACGATTCATTATTTTCTCATTATTATTGCCAACTGTAATTTCCATCTCTACATGGAAAATTAAACTAAAACGTTGTTTTTGAAAAACTGAGGATTATTTGGAAAAATTATTAAATTCCTAATGAAGAAGATTATTTTATAGCTAAATTTTGCAGCGCGTATATCGTACACTTACCATGGTAAACCATCCAAAGCCTTACATTTTCATGGAGTCTATAGACTCTTGTAATTCGCCTCGACAAACCGAATGGTCTACACGAGAGACCCTGAGGATCACTTCCGCGATCTTGTACGCGGTTGCTCGCACGAAATCGTTCGAGATTAACTTTATTACAAGAAAATCCGATTAATTGACACTTGCAGCCCATAAACCGCGTCGTCACGGGGCTACAAGCTCCTTCGGTAGACGATATCTCGTTCCTTAATGCGAAAACATTGCGTCCCTATGGTGCTACAATCTACCGGATAGACCCTGAGATTGGAGGAAAAAGTCACGTAAAGGGTTGCAGAAAATCCCACAGGAGTTTCGTGCAACCTCCGACTCTTTCAGAAGACCAACAAGCCACTGGTATTGGTGTAACCTTTTAATAAAGCTTGATGTTTATTGCGAAATAAAATCGAGCACGAAAGCCACGATAAAACGCGAGAGGCACGAAAACCTCGGTTTCCGTCACAAGTGGAATATAAATTATTTTAACGTAAGAAATTTTTCAACGACAGAGTTACGTATGGTTGGAATAATCTAAACTTTAGA